CATCACCCCCCCCTCCCCCCCCCTCCGTCTCGAAAGGGAGGCGTGGTCAATGGTCAAATGACTACGGCAAGCAACAAATGAGTACGCCCCCCCCCCCCCTCCCTTCTTCCGCTTCCCGCCGCTTTACGGTTTTTCCCGCTGGGTGTTTTCGGGACGATGGGTCGTTGGACGCCGTGCGATGTGACCAGCCTTGGGACGAGAAGGACGCCACGGCAGTGGAGGAAGAGTTTAGCCTCGAGGATTTGTTTGGGGATGACGGCGACTCTCCGGTCAAGCAAGAGCTGTAGTTGCTTCCATGCGTGCTTGGCGCTTGACGTCCGAGCAAGCAAGCGTTGCAGGAGCAGGAGCAGGAGCAGGATCTACTCGCTTATTATTATTTTTTTCGTTTTGAGTTGGTGTGACCTGTAGTTCTGTGTGTGCTGTGGTTTGTTTCTGGTGAGGAGCTACCGATGGCGTAGGTTTGACAATTGTCTTGTGTACTTTGACGTGTTGTTGGCGGCGTGCTGTGTGTCTGGTCTGATGTAAAGAAAGACCTGCCGAAGAATTATAGGCTTGTCTTTAGGGCTCGACAAACTGTAGGTCTCTTGCATGCCCTGCTGTCATGAGACGAAGACACCTGTTCGTTTTTATTTTTCCACGCCAGTGACGCTGCTGTCCTTCATCTAAAGCGTCGTGAAAGCTTCGCAACGGCTTTTTTTTTTGCGTGGTAGCCCACACTGGATACGCACATGCACAGCAGCGGTGAACGTAAGAGCATCATGTGCCAAAGTGCTTTGCTTGCTTCATCACCAAATCTTGATTCACTCTCGAAATGCGGCGTTGTATGTAAGCAGATAAGAGCTCGGAATAGCGAACGCTGAGATCGACCATCGAAAGGCGGCCAAACACCGCACGGCACAGATGTCGTCACAGCCAGCGGATGAAGGTCAAAACAGCGGGGGCTGACTCTCTGTCGCACCGGCACGGGACCGTGATCAGGCGTGTAGACCCCGCTGGCGAAGTTTACAAACCGGGCTACTGCATATGAAAAAAATGTGCAGATCGAAGCGTGTAGGGGTCTGTATCTCTATTTTTTTCGGGCTGTTCCCACATTTTTGTCCCCATTGGCATATGATGATCACGCGGTCAAGGACACCGTGGTAGACACACCAGCTGCAACAGATCTATTCGTTGCGAGGCACGACGCATCTGAGACGTGGAAAGCAACTACACATACGCATAGATCGCCTTCTGATCGCTGTCGCTATTTCGTGCTACCACGATGAAAGGGGAACAACGGAAGCCGTTAAGATGATGTGTACACCTGGGTGAGGCAAGCTGCGTGGCCAATCAATGATTTACGGGGGGAGAACGTAGCGCGCTCAGGGAAATCTGGCGCATCCAAAACGTAAAAGCTTGGCACGACAGGTGGCAAAAAAAAGGAAAGCTGGAAGTGTCTCGTGTCTGGCGGATATACATTCACGGAGGAAAATCTGCGTTGCCCCCCCCCCACCCCCCCTGAATCGTAGCATTCGTTGGGACCCCGGTTTGCCGTGCGCTACTACCGGGAGCACAAGCACAAGCAAACCCGCCACGCCAAGAGCATCAGGGGGTTGCTTTTGGTATTTTGCTGCTACTCATGACGACAACGATACCTACTGCCCCCCCCCCGTCTTTTCGCACTATTTACCATGAGCGCATTGTGCAACATTTGCCAAATCAATTCAGTCTGTACAGGGCATGACGCAAGTTCGCTCAGTCCCCAACCTCCTCGTCACAACGGGGGACCATCTCCTCCCGCCATCTTTCTTCGCAGGCTCTCCTTTTCCTTCTCTAGCAGGGTCTCGATAGCGTTCAGGCCGTCCTCGGCAGCCATCGATCCCGGTTCCCACGGAAGCCCACAAGCCGCCCCGCCTCTACTCAAGCCGGCTCCGCCGCTATGCAAAGAGGGCTTACTCTTTCTTCGACGGCAGCTGGCTGTGGCACCTCTTCGTTTATTTTCTTTCTCCTTCCGCGCCCGTTTTCGCTTTTTTCGTTCCTCGTCGCCGCTACAGCTATGGAGAGGGTTGCTGGAGGAGGCGTGCCATGGTTCTCCTCGTACCTCCGAGGAAGATGCGTCTCGGAAACCCGAGCATCCGTGGTCGCCCTGCTGCTCCGTCCTCCGGTCCCATTCCTTTCTATCGCGGCCTCGACTCCGACACCGATCGCTATCTCGACCTCGATTTCGGGGCACGGGTGACGGTCTCTCTCCTCCTTCCGTTGGAACCATCTGCGGTCCGCCTTCTTCGCAACCCGGTTCTGCCGTAGCAAATGCCCCCCCCCCAATATCAGCGCCACCAGAGCTATCCACACGGTCCCCGCTCCTGTCGCTCTGCCAGTTGTTGTTGTGCCTGCTGCTGCCGCTGCAGCAGCTGCTACCGCTACCACCAGGCCTTCCGCTTGAGTCCCGATGACCATCAGCCGCACCGCGCGTCATCCCCATGCCCGGGACCGTCTCCGGTGCCATGCCTTCCCCACCGGTAACCCCCTTTCGATTCGTCCCCGTGCACGAATGTTCTGAACCTCCGTCGGCGTCCGGCCGCGGCCCAGCCTGTCGACCGGCGGCAGCAGCAGCGGAAGCAGCAGCAGTAGCAAGCTGTGTTCGTACGGCGGCCCTTAGGTCCGCCATGCTGGGACTGGGATAGCCAGCCGTCCCGCCATTGTCCCCCTTCCCGCGACCGCCGCCGGTGTGCTCGTCCACCGCCACCCCTCCGCTCGCCGGCCCGCCGCCCCCGAACACTGTTCGCGCTCCGAGGAGCCTGAACTTGAGCTTCGACGGTTTGCTGCTCTTGGGGTTGGCCTTCCTCTTGCCCTTAGATGAGGAGGAGGAGGAGCGCGGTCGCTCGACAGCGAGAAAGAACGGCCCCGGAATCTGGCAGAGAGGGCACCTGTACGGCACCGGCGCCGGTCTCTTGCGACCACCACCCCTGTTGCCTGTGCTCGTCCCACTGCTGCCGCTGTTGCTACTGCTGCCTATCCAGGTGTTGTCGTTCCCTCGTTCGGGGTGGAACGCGGACAAATTGCCCCGGGAGAGCGCAACAGCAACGGTGTGCTCGTACCAGCCCAAAATGCTTCAGAAAGTCGGCATGTATAAGGAGAGGGTGGCCGATGCAGGGGGGCGGGAAAGTGCGGGGTGGGTGTAGGCAATCGTAAGAGGTGTGAGGGTCGGTGGCATTGGTTGAACGAGGGGCGTACTGCGGCACACCAAAGAACGCCGCAAAACAAAAGCACCAGAGAGCAGGCATTCTAAAAGTTTCGAAACTGAACGCACAGACAATGATGATCATGATTGACTTTCCCTTCTCTCTCTCTCTCTCTCTCTCTCTCTCTCACCATGTATGGCAGAAGGTATGGAGGCAGGACGTGAGGGTCACCGGCTCTTCGAACTTGCCAAGGCATATGGGACACACAGAGTGCACCTCCCTTCCACCACGCCCACTGCTGATGCTTGCATTGCTCGGAGCATCTGTGTCCCTGCCTGATTCATCTCCGCCCTCTAGAGCTTCTACATCCCAAGCGGACGCCGCGGTTGGGTCAATCGTTGTGGTCGTATGCATAGCCGATCTAGCAGCCGTAGTTGACGTTGGAGGGGGAGCGGCGTAATCAGACGACCCAGCAGACACATCATTGCGGAAGAAGACTGGATGTGCCACGCACTCAAAGCCACTCGGGACTAGCGTATCTCTACCGATACGGCTAGCAGATGCTCCAGGGTCCGCCTGTTCCATGATGATCCCTGCAGCTCTGTGCCCATGGGGAGTGGCGTACAGCAGTAGTGTGCCTCGCGATTTTGTCCCCGAGGGGGGCCCACAAACAAGCGTAGGGGAGGGTACCCTTTCGTTTCGGTTTTCCAGAACCCTGCCTTCTCTCACCGGCTAGCCCGCGTTGCTATGATATAGCGGCAGAGCGGCAGCAGCACAGGCAAGCAGCACGCAGCGGGTTGGGTGATTGGGTAGAGTCGGTGGGAGTCGCCTTGAATATCCATTACCACACCCCAAAACACTTTGTAGGTGGCGGGGGAATGAAACAAGTACAATATGTGTTAGCAGCACCGCCCAAAACACACCACCCAACTCACCATGCACGCACAGCAGTCTATCTAGTAGGCTACCATACAAGCCTTTGTAGATTACAAGTCTTTGTAGATGGAGCGTAGTAGGCACCCGGTTAATAACCATCATGGGAAACACACCTCAGCGGTACATCCCACAAAATATCTCCAACTTACTTACATGATGCGGAGTGAGTGACGGGGGGCAACGAATTACATTGAGCCGGACCTACTTTAAATAATTAGTCTACATTTAAATTACTGGACGTTTATTTCCAGCGGGCGCCTACTGAAGGAACCAGCCTACAGACTACCACGTTTGGATAGAGGAGGGAAAAACAAAAATAGCATGTTTTCGGTCCAAAGTTTACGCATAGATCTGTGCTGTTGTAGGTGTTTCTGTATACCACACTCACTCTACATAATATAATGTAGAGGAACTAACTACGTACTTTATTTACTATTTGTTCGTAAATAAATGTACAGGCGGCGTACCATTTCTTGTAGGACTGACTTCCGGAACCAGCAACAAAAATATCGTCGTCGATGTCTGTCTGCCTGTCTGTTTGTCTGCCTGTCTGTTTGTCCCCCCCCGCCCCCGTCCCCCTCTCTCTATATCTCTCCCTCTCGATGTTCAAACGCGAGCTTTTCACTCATCATCCCCCCCAAAAAAGAGGGAGGCGAGCCCCGGACGAGGAGGCGGGGTGTTGTTACGCCTTGGGGGACGGGACTGTTTGCTTACGGGATACTCAAGTAGCACGTCATGAGGAGACTTCACGTGGTGGGGAAAGTACAGAGAAAAGAAGAACAGGTACAATGCGCGTGTTGTGTATGACCACGGGCGGGAAGCATGCGGCTGGCGGCGTGTTTTCATTTTCAAACGAGCTGCCCCGCCGTCAGTAGCAGCAACATGCCTGTCGAATGAAGGGCAAGATCGACAACAATCATGTCCGAATGAACGCGCGGCACGCACGCATTCCGACAAAACCAAGTATTGCACACATCTATCTCTTGGATTACGACGATAATGGCCATCGTTAGATTTCAGCACACGCCCATTCCCCCACTGCCTCACCCCCCCATCTCACCCCCTCCC